GATCTAGATGAACACAAATAACATAAGAGAGAAAATGCAAGTATGAATATTGGCTAGAGGTTTATATTAATGACTTCAAGTATGTATAGTAAGAGAGAATACAAAGAATATAGAAAGTACATACTTGAAGTCATCAATATAAACCTTTAGCCAATATTCTTCCTTGCATTTTCTCTCTCTTGTTCTTTGTGTTCATCTAAATCGAGTGTGTTGTTGTGAGATCCTAACAACTGGTATCACTTCACAAATCTTGGTGAATCTTGCCTAACTTTGATACCAGTTGTTAGGATCACACAACACACACTCAATCTAAACGAACACAAAGTATGTATAGTAAGAGAGAATACATAAAGTACATACTTGAAGTCATCAATATAAACCTTTAGCCAATATTCCTCCGTGCATTTCCTCTCTCTTGTTCTTTGTGTTATCTAGATTGAGTGTGTTGTTGCGATCTTAACAACCACCTCAACTCCCCTATGTGTGTGGACAAATGAAAATGGATCATGTCAAACTAGGTATAATGACGCTCTGATTATGTCACGTTTGAAGCATCAAAATATTTGAATAATGATTTTTGGGAAGTTGTTTAAGGCAACATTTTCTATAGGAAAAGTTGTAAGCATAAAAAGATTTTTTGTGGCATGTCCAGGTTCGATTCTATGTATTTATCATTTATTTTCGTAAGGAATATCTTGTAAGTGCATTTCCTTTTGAAATAGGAAGAAAGAGCTTCTGCTCTATCACTCGCCGCCAAGATGGTCGAATCACTGAAGTTCCTGCCTGTTCAGGTATCTTCCGCGATTTATATGTTTTTCTTAATTAGTTAAATTCATTTCATCTAAATTATTTGTCGTCTCTAATTAAAGATATCGTCCGTTTCAAATTACTAGGCTCGTATTTACGAAGGATATGAACCAGTCCAGTTCTATTCCATTTTCCAGAGCTTTATCGTTTTTAAGGTATGTTTGCTTCTGGAGATTTAAATTTTCTTTATGTTGAATTGTTTCCTAAAGTTGACTGATAAAAAATTTTGCAGGGTGGGATGAGTGATGGCTACAAGAATTACATTACAGAAAACGAAATTCCAGACGTGACGAATTCAGAAGACGGTGTTGCATTGTTTCGGGTCCAGGGCTCCGGCCCCGAGAATATGCAAGCAATTCAAGTTGAAGCAGTACGTTGCCCTCGCCCCATGGTCTTGCACTTTCATCCTGTGCATACTTCACGCTAATATACACATTGTTGTTTTTTTGTTCTTTTGTTCCCATCAGGTCGGATCCTCTTTGAATTCCTCTTATTGTTACATTTTACATAGTGGCCCTACTGTTTTTACTTGGTGTGGAAGTCTTACCACCCCTGATGACCAGGAACTTGTTGAAAGATTTCTGGATGTGATAAAGGTGATAGTTATACGCCCTTATGGACACAATATTCATGGATGGTTGAGTTCCTAGGATAAGGATCATTGAGTTACTTCTTACTTTTCAATGATGTACCCTTATGAATCAAGCTGCCATTAGAACATGTAAAAATCATTTGTTCATTAAAAGGATTTTGGGCAAATAGTCTCCCCGTGTCAAAGGAAAATGCTAATGGATACGTACTCGACGATCAGAATATTTCTTAACCATGCATTAATTACTTCGGAAATTCTTTTCTGCTCTCGTTCAGCACATCTCGACATTCGAGTTCATCTCGAGATTTCTTATCATATAAATGCCCAATTTTCTGCAGCCTAATTGTCAATCTAGGCCACAGAAGGAAAGCACAGAGTCTGAACAATTTTGGGAATTGTTGGGAGGAAAATTGGAATATCCTACTCAGAAAATTGCTCGGAATAATGAGAGTGATACACACTTATTCTCTTGCACTTTTTCAAAAGGTTTGTATCAATTAATACTCTTTCATCATTATTGTTCTTTTTTTTGTTTGTTTACATCTCTAACTTTGTTAATAACTTTGTTCATTATGGTGGCATCTTGCAGAAAATTTGAAGGTATTCTCTTTTTATCTCGTTCTTGTAATCTTTTCGAAGAACATATATCATAAATCGTTCTTAGTTTCATGTTTTGATGTTATTGCAGGTTGCAGAGATATACAACTTTCGCCAAGATGATCTGATGACGGAAGATATTGACATTCTTAGTTGTCACTCTGAGATCTTTGTTTGGGTTGGTCAACAGGTTGACCCCAAGACTAAACTGCATGCTTTACAGATTGGTGAGGTACGTTCCATCAGGAGATTGAATCTTTTTTAAATTTTATTGTCAATCATTCTCTTATGTCTGCTATAAATGATTTTTACAATTTTACTTCTTTTCCATATTCTTGACAGAAATTTCTCGAGATTGATTTTTTTCTCGAAAAATTATCACGTGAAACTCCGATATATATTGTTATGGAAGGGAGCGAGCCACCATTTTTCACACGTTTCTTCTCGTGGGATTCTGCAAAATCTGCTGTAAGAATTTTATGCCAATTGTGTACGATCATCTGAATTCCGAAGCTCAGACGATAATTCGTTTCTTTTAATTATTCGAATACAGATGCACGGAAATTCGTTTCAGAGAAAGCTTGCATTAGTCAGAAATGATGGTACTCCTGCTGTAAATGTAAGTCATCTCTTATTTTCCTATCTAATTAGCTTTAGCTTTAGCTTTTGAGTTCAATAATAAGTAATAATAAGTAATGTGTTGTCTATTGTCTCTCTCTTTTTTGATGCTTACACGACCTTTAATCAGAAACCGAAGCGGAGAACTCCTGTAATGTATGGAGGGAGGTCGAGTAGTGTGCCCGAAAAATCACAGCGCTCAAGGAGTGTGTCGTTTAGTCCCGATCGAGTCCGTGTGAGAGGAAGGTCGCCTGCTTTCAATGCATTAGCTGCAAATTTTGAGAACCCAAGTGCTAGAAATCTATCTACTCCTCCACCAATGGTTAGAAGATTATACCCAAAATCTAATACTCCTGATTCATCAAAGCTGGCTTCTAAAAAGGCAGTCATAGCAGCACTTAGTGCAAGCTTCGAACAGCCACCACCCGCTCGAGAATTTATCATACCTCGCTCTTTGAAGGGTACAAGTTCATTCAAGTTTCGCCACAGTTTGTTCTCGTTCATCACAATTTTCTAACTTTATTGAATTAATGGGTTTCTTTTGGGAGCCTAGGTGCCTCGAAGCCGAAACCCGGGTCGGATAATAAAGAGAACTCCATGAGCAACAGATTAGGATCTCTTACTATAGAGGAAGATGTGAAGGAGGGTGAAGTTGAAGATGAGGAAGGTCTCACAGTACATCCGTACGAGTCCCTTACGACACTGACGAGTTCTCCAATTCCAGACATTGACGTGACGAAGCGAGAGGTAACCATTCATTGACAAAACCATTTGATGGAAACTAGAAATATCGTTAATCGACATCGAGTTCTGATGCATGGAATTTGAAACGTGCAGACATACCTGTCATCGGCGGAGTTCAAGGAGAAATTTGGAATGACAAAGGATGAGTTCTATAAGCTACCGAGATGGAAGCAGATCAAACTTAAAATGGTGTTACATTTGTTCTAGAGCTCTTTGTTTAACAATGCCTTTGATTGCTCGTCTTTGAGGTTTGGTTGCCAGTAGCAGGGTTCGTTCGTTGTAACAATATCGGTTCGTGTTCTATAAACTGATACTAATCGATTGCCATCATTCTGATCGTCCGCAGCTGTGCAACTCAGAGTTCTTAATGGAGAGCATCAGTGCATTTTAAGCTCTCTGCTCCCAAACAAAACTCAGAGCTGTTCTTTAGTGGTTTGAATGTGTCTAGAGCTTTCACGAGCAGTTGAGTTAGTTGTGTGATTATTTGCTTTGAAATTTGGTTTGGTTTTTGTTATCTAATTCTTTTTTAATTTGATTTTGTTTTCTAATTTTTTTATTTAAAAAAAAAAAACAGAGAGAGATTACTTTTAGTTGTATTGATTGATGGCTGAGGATGGAATCATGTACAGACAGCATTGTATAAACCAGTCCTCTCATTTTTGTTCATTTTTTTTAAAGTAATTTCCTCATTTATTACGTTTGAAAAGAATTTGAAAATATTTTTTAATAAATAGTAATATATTACTGATACATCAATAGCACATGTAAAATTATATTTACATTTTGTTTAAGTCGTAAACGATGTCACAATTGATCCCATCAACGATTATTGTTTAGAGGCGTGACATTTTTTAAGTTGGTAAAGAAAAGTTGTCAATAAAACCAAATTGAATTTTTAGTTGGGCTCTACGATCCCCCTAATGCAAGTTGGCGGACGACTAGAGGACGACACCAGGGTGACGAACAACCATGTCCAAAATTCAACACCTATGTGCAGGGTTCCTTGCGACATAATCATGTTATCTAAGTCTTTCTTAGTTATTCTATCTTCATGATCACTCTCATTCGAATTTGGTCTCAGTTCATTCATGTATCACTCTTTTACTCGAGTGTCACATAAATTGTCAAAATAGTTGAAAGAACTCTTGTATTAATCAAAAACCAATGTATTGTCGAAAATGAATAGTAGAAATAGTGAAATAACTCGATTGATGGAGAAATGAAGCCAAAAAAAAGATAGTGAAGGCGATATTTGTAATCATGCGTCATCTAGCTTAAATATAACGGGTCAAAACAAGAAGAAACGAAACACGTTGAAAAAAAAGAATATATATTACTAATATATGGGTGATATACTTTATTTTAGGTATATCTAATAAACTAAATAAGTTATCATATTTCATTAATATATGTAAAATAAAGTATATAATACACGTCGTATTAATAAAAAGAAGGAAAGCGCTGGGTAATATAAATAATGTTTGACTAAGTCAAATTTGCATGGGATTATAGATCATGAACCGGAAAAGCCTGTGAGTGAGAGTGATTATCGCATATAAAAGACATTCGAGGAGAATGATTGGCGACCAGGAAACGATTGCTACAATTCCAGTGACATTCGGATTCATATTCAGATTCATAGATGAAGCGCACAGTAGGTGAATCGTCGTCGTCGTCGTCTTCTTCTTCTCCTCAGGCGACGTCTTCTTCTTCTTCTCAGGCGACGTCTTCTTCTAACGTCTCCGCCGCATCCGCCGCCGCCATTGCCAACTCTCCTATCGGAAGCGTCGAGTTTACCACTGACAGTAATGGTTTGGAGAAGGTGATTCTCCGTGGGCCCCGTCGCAGTTCCGCTGAGGTACCGCGTATATTCCGTCTCCCAAAAGAAACCGATCGCGACTAAATTTTGATTTTAGGATTCCGTATCGTATTGCATGTTGTGCGAATCTTCAATTGCGATGGAATTCAAGACTGATTTTCTTGCATGCTATCTCCGGGTTGAATATGCCATTGCAATCGAATTCATGCATGCTTCCTGGTTTGAATTAATCTGCCATTGCGATCGAGTTGAAGAATCATTTTCATGCATGCTTTTCTGGTTTGAATCTGCCATTGCGATCGAGTTCAAGAATCATTTACATGCATGCTCTTCTGGTTTGAATCTGCCTTTGAGACCGAGCTCGAGTTCAAGAAAGATTTTCATGCTTTCCGGTTTGAATTAATCTGACATTGCGATTGATTTCAAGAAGCATTTTCGGTTTACGTGCGCCAAAAGCTCTATTCAATAACTTCCATGCCGGACTGATTTCTTTTCTTTCTCCTATCAATTTACTCATACACATTTCTCTAATTTGCAGAATGAAAAGAACATTTTAGATTAAATTACACATCTTAATCAAGAAAGTCAATTAGATTTCGAAGTATTCAAAATGTGGCGACGTCTTTTACAATTTTTAGTACGTCAATGGAAGATAAGGAAAAATAGTACATAGGAATTTTTTGTTTTAATTTTTATTAATGTGTTAATTTGTGGTTATTCTGTTTGAGTACCGTTTTGGCTAGGTGTTGTTGTACGGAGGTCAGGTGTTGTCTTGGAAGAATAAATTGGGAGAGGAATTGCTTTTTGTGAGCACAAAGGTAACTAATGAACTAATCTTTTCTTTGAGTTAAATTAATGAATTAATTCGATTCGCGCCATTATTATTATTAGATTTTGAAAGGAAGAGGTCGAATCGAATGCAGGCTGTGTTTGCGCCTCCGAAGCCAATTCGCGGGGGAATTCCGATATGCTTTCCTCAAGTAGGTGTAAAAATTTCCGTTGTGTTCGTCAAAATCAAAATTGTTGTGGTTTGGGCGGTGAAGAAAAACAAAACTCTCTTCGCTACAGTTTCTCAACAATGGTATGATAGAGCGACATGGATTTGTGAGGACGAGATTCTGGAGAATCGATTTGGATCCCCCTCCTCTCCCTACCGCTGCACCTTGCAGCTCTTACATCGACTTGATTCTCGACGAACAAGATCGCTGGACATGGCCTCACAAGTAAGATCCCTTCTATTCTTATTCTTCTTTCTTTTCAATTCAATTCATGTTTCCATTCATATTAATTTTCGTCTGCAATCAGATATGAATTTCGTCATAGGGTTGCTTTGGGCTACGAAGGGGAGCTGCGATTGACATCGCGTATCAGAAACATAAGGCCCTCTGGAAAGCCGTTTTCCTTTACTTTTGCTTACCTTCCCTATTTGTTTGTTTCTGACATAAGGTTTGGGGCTTGGCTTTTTGCTCACTATCTGTTTCTTGAAATCATTTGGTTTCAAACTTCATATATATGTCACTTTCATTCACTCGTCCGATTGGGACGGGTTTCTGCGCAGTGAAGTACGTGTGGAGGGAGTGGAGACGCTCAACTATCTTGACCACTTGCAGGAAAAGGAGCGTATAACTGAACAAGCAGATGCTATAACATTTGAATCAGAGGTTACTCTCTCAGAACTTTCTTTACTCATTTTAAGAACACCTATACTGTTTATGAGACTATCCCCAGGAAAGGAAATAACGAATTCTTTCTCATTAATATACTAAGGAAATTTATATTCATAATTAACATTGTTTGATATTCACGAAGACAAACTCTTTCATACATCGTGTGTTTGGTTGTTTGTTAGGTGGATAAGGTATATGTATTAACCCCAACAAAGATAGCAATTTTGGATCACGAAAGAAAGAAAACCATTGAACTGCGGAAAGATGGGCTTTTAGACGCGGGTAATCTAGTTCATCACATGCTGTATTTTAATATTCTTTTATAAATTATAATATGCGTTCCATACACATTACATTATATATAGTTGTGTGGAATCCATGGGACAAGAAGGCAAAGGCGATAGAAGACTTAGGAAACCAAGATTACAAGAAAATGGTTTGTGTGGGAGCTGCTGCTATTGAGAATTACATCACACTGAAACCTGGAGAAGAGTGGAAAGGAAGAATGGAACTTAACTTTGTTCCTTCTAGCTACTGTAGCGGCCAACTTGATCCCCAGAAAGCCCTCTTAGGTGTTTAAGTAGTTCTTCATCATCAAATCCGGTGAGTCTATATTGATTAATTGGCTGTGTCATGTTTTCAGATTTTACCATTACTAACCCCTGAAGTAATAATAACCTCTCCTCTCTTTGCTGTATTTGCAGATCCCAATTGCAAGATTCGTTCTCTCTCTCTCTCTTTTCTCCTTCACATGGTGGAAGAAATTGAAGCGAAATAGTAATGGTGATGGAAGTTTTGAGATTTTGAGGAGAAGGCAAATACAACGAAGAATCTTTAGGATTTGGTACATTTCTTCTGTCTGTTTTAGTGTTTAATAAAGACGAAAAGAGAATTGAATGAAGAAATATAGTTTTGATCTAAGCTTTTGTGTCTAATGCTAAAAAGTAGTCAAAAGTTTCGGTGGGGGGAAGGACACAATGATGACATCCTCCCACAAGACAAAATGGGTTTCGGTACGGAGCAGCACGCACGTTCAGTAGTGATCGCATTAACTTTAAGCACACCATCATTTCATCATCTCTTATCTCTTTCTGGTCAAGCAAGTAACTTTTTCTGTTTGTTATGGCATCTCTCCATCCACTAACACACAGTCCTTCCTCTTCAAAAATGCCTTTTCTTCTAAATTAACTCACCACCGGCAGTAAAGCTGCAGACACAAATAAAAGGGTACAGAAATGAAGACAATTTTTGTTCTCTTTGTCCCACTTGATTTGCATCTCTGATATGACACTGTTTCTTTCATTGCCTGGAATTGGATGTTTCCCTGTGTTCCTTTCTTTGCTTGACTAGCAGTGGTCATCATCACCAGTTTTTTAATATAAATTGTCAAGCTTTGGTTATGATGTTGAGCGTCATCTACAGTCTCTGCTCCTACCTTTTCACTGTTCTTCTCTGATGTTAGAATGCATAATAGTTTTAATATCCTTTTGAGATGCTTTGTTGTAATTTTGCTCAACTTACAAAATTTCTATCTGGAGTTGGAGTAGAAGTGTAGAACACCCAAATATTAGAATCTCAATTGGTAGGAAATGTGTTAACGTGAACAAACCTGTTTTTCTTTTTGCAAGTTTTGGAATGATAGATACAAAACTTGTCATCTTCTCTGCTACTTGAGCTTTAAACTTTGAAAAAGCCAATGTGGCCATTTTGTTTCCTGATCACATGTTGCACTTGAGCTGCTCATGGGGGTGGTTGGGTCACTGCATTCTTCTCCTCTTTCTGATTTGAATGACAAAGATGAATCAATCTCTCTATCCTTTTGAGTAATAGGAGGAAAGGATTTTGATCTCTTCTTGCTTAGACTTCCTCCAATACTTAGAGTTAGCTCAACATCACTGTCTTCTTCACACCCATCTATGCACATCTTGTTACTTTTTCTGGCTATCGTCGGAGTGCTTGGCCTGGCTTGGTCCTCGTCGACGGTGCTAATGCCAGTCGACATGTCCTCTTCTGCTGGCCTTTCAAGATCAAAGCCTCTTGACATTCTCATGTTATCTCCAGAACAGCTTCCACTTCTCTCTCTACTACTTGGATCAAGATTGAAAATCAGCCCCTCTCCAGCGGTCTGTGTTGTTGAAGTTTCGCGGTTGTTGAACTGTAAGTGGTTAAATCCTGAACTTGCCATTGGACTCCCTAATGTGTTTTGCTTGGTTTCTTTCCTCAGCTCTTCCATCAACATCTTCTGGACACTGTACAGCCGATGGAGTTCCTTCACCTACAAAACAAACGTTATCTACTTTGAATGGTTGCTGAAATAACAAATGAAACAGAAACAAAAGGATAGAAAAGGATAGAATTGAAATGTTCTCTTACCTGATTCTTGAATACATAATCATGGAGCTGCATTGTGTTTTTAATGGCTTCAACGTCTCCTTTCTGCAGCATCTTGTTCAGTGCTTCTTGAAACTTGTCAAGTCCAGTACTCATGGCAGCAGATGTTGTATAGAATTTTGTTGAGTAGCCCTGGAAATGCTGCCAGTCATTCACTCTTTGAACTGTGAATGCGTTGCTGCTGCTGCTGTGGGCAGAGGTGGTGGGTAGAGGATTGAAAGTGGGTTTATTAAGTCTTGTTCCCATGCCTGAAACCAAATGGACCACAAAGCCACAACTTTGACAAAGCATTCTTGAAACCCACAAAGAAAATTGTCAAAAAAAAGTCATCTTTGACAATTAAGCACAAGCTTTTCCCCTCTCTCTCTCTCTCTCTTTCCACAAGAGAGAGAGAGAAACAGAGAGAGATTTACATGTAACGGAGGCAGTTATAGTGAGGCAGAAGTCAAATTCTAAGCCAATCCAAATCAATATAGATGGAGGACTCATGGTTTATATATGTATAGGCTTGGCTAGTCTAGAAGTAAAGAAAATGTTATAATTTCAGGGATTTCATGGTTTCTTGATCTTGGAAAAGCACAATCAAACAGTGAAGAAACAATGCCAGAAAGGAAGAAAGAAAGAAAGGGATTCAGATCCCTCTCTCTCTCTCTCTCAATATCTGGTGGGCATAAACAACTGTCCACTTTCCTTCCCATAAGCTCATCAAACATCTTAATTCTATTGGAGGAATTTCTCAGAAAACACCTGAACTGAAGTACAGGGTTGAAAAGATAAGCCTAAAACCACTGACATTGAGCAATCCCAGCAATACTATGGAGAAAATCCCAGTAGTTCCAACAGAAGAGAAAGAAACTAAACAAAACCCTGCAGAGAAAATGAAGAAGAAATGGATGATGGGAGTGACCTGATAGAGAAAGAGGGTGGATGTTGATGATAGGTTGTTCTTCGGAGACTCATTGAACATCCTTTGCCTTCCTCTCATTCATGCCAATGCTTTGCTGATCAACAAAACAAAGGGAGTGCCCAACTCCCTCATGAATCATAATAATTCAGGTTTTGAAAGGACAAAACCCACTCTCTCTTCTCTCCTGTTGATAATTCAGGAGGTACACAACAAGAAAGTGTGGATTTCCTTCTCTATCTAATATATATATATTTCTTTTATATTATTTTTGGTGTCCTTGAATGTGTTGTATAATATATATATATATAAGGAAGATCAAAGAAAAAGATATTCCAGACAGACAGCTCTCCCAACCCCTTTCAAACATTTGCATCAATGCTGCAAAAAAGCTTATTATCATTATCATTATCCTTCCTTCTCCCCCTTTTTCATGGAACACTAAAAAGTTCCTAATCTCTTCCTCTCTCTCTCTCCATTTATTTATATCACCTCAACTCTCATCATCCACTCTTACTCAAAACACTTGGCACACGAATTTTGATTTATATACTCTCTCGAATGTAGTGTACTACAGGGGATGCAATTAGTTATTAACTCTTTCTATTCGGAGTTATATGTTATCCATGATGTCCATGTTGTTATGTTGCTTTTTTGCTTATAGTCTATAACATTGCTTTCTTCATTTCTCTCAAGTCTTGTTTTCAAACTCTCTATTCACAATTGTTTTGTGCCTTTGATTTTTAAAACATTCTTCTTAAAGCGGGGCTCAAGCCTTAGACACATGTTGCTAGGTCACGATTTCAAGTTGGTTGACTCGGCGAGAGCGAGTGTTACACAATTATTTACGAATATTATGTGAGAGTGTGATTGTGACACTGAGTTTTATATTAGAATTCTAAGCTAACTTTTATAAATGAAATTTAGTGATTAAAAAATATTTTTTAGTTTAAAAAAAAAGAAAATATATAATTTAAAATAGTATTGATAAAGTAAAATAATAAAAACTTTGTACCATTTTCTTTCTATTATGAAAATATCTAAACAATTTGAGGTGGGGAAAGAGAGAGAAAAAAAAAACAAACTTTTGAACATTTTTCTAGTAATAATACATTTAAAGGCTATGATTTTTTTTTCCTTTTTGGGAAAATTCTCATTCTTTAGGAGTTTAAATTAGGAGTTATGATTACACTTTTTAAGGGTTTTTTTTTAAAAAAAAAAATTAAATTAAAAAATGATTATTGATTATTTATGTGCAATTCATAGGCAGAAATTTGAGATTGGACTGAAAAAATAAAAGGAAATTTCCTCTCACATCCCTCTCCTAAAAAGGCAGCATAAAATATCCCTAACCTAACAAATCCGTTTTAAAAAAAATTAAATTACATAATATATGAATTTTTATATTTGGATGTGCTTCATTTTGTCCTTTTCTTTGTTTGGTATGGTTCATACATTATATTATTATATTATGCAATTTTATTGGTTTAATAATAAATATTACTTCTTCCTTATTTTCAATCTAAACTTACTTTTACTTTTGAAATTTAATTAAGAATTTCAGAAGAAAAAAAAAACCTACATACGTGTGTGATAATATTAAATATACTATAATATTAGTGTGGGTGAAAAAATCTTAAAATTTTAAAAGATATGATTCCGATGATAATAAATAAGATATCTAAGATATAAATGCATTATTTTTATTTATTTATATAAAAAGCATGTATTAATAACTCTAATTAATTAAAGATCATAATTTAATGTCCTTATGACATGCATGGTGGTTAGCTATACATAGGCTGTCCATGTGAGCTATGCACATGCGCCATATTTCCCCATTGACCCTTTGAGAGGGAATCTCGATTTGTTAATTATAAACTAAACAATTTATATATTTTAACCGGTTAAAACATACAATATTTGCTAGTATTGGAGTTGGACTATTATAAATGACTGATTTTTTTAACTAAAAAACATGTGAGTGTGGACAAAACATGCTAAAATAAATCATATTATCTATATTAGTTTGTGTGGATATTTTTTCTTTTAAAAATAGTTGAAGTAAGTAAATAACATTGATCATGTCACACTGGATGCACGAGAACATATTTTGTCTAACACAAGAGTTCAATCTATATGAACATATTTAAGTTGGATAGTCTAATTGACAACAAGATTTTTACATGTAACACTAACTTTCACGATAGCTTGATGATTTGAAATTCATTCAAAGATCTTTTACATGTGCTAACTCCAAACTCTAATAAAGAGATTCTCCGAGAAAAAAAGGAAGTGGGTTCAAGAAATGAATATTCTAACCATATAACATTTATATATTAAAGAAAATAAAGTGAGACCTTAAAGAATCTTAATAAAGGCTCGACAAATGTACATGGGTGACGGGTATAGATAGATTCACTGTATATTGAATTGTCGAATCATATAAATTAGAATTAAAATTGGTAGGTACATTCAATATAATGTTTTGGAAACGACCTAATTGATTTTAATATACATACCCTTCCAACCATTGTCGAATGACCTATACATACAATATATATATATATATATATATATATATATATATATATATATGAAATGCAATTTAGCCTTATCCTATGTA